TAACGTCAAACACAGTAACAACAGATAACGTGAATCAACAGTGAAGACGATTAAATCAAGCAAATTGACAATAGAAAAGAAGGAAATAGCACTCGTGAAGTTTTTTAAAAAAAAAAAGAAGATTAATGAAGAAAATATGCTTGCCATTCGTTTTGTGGATACCTTTCGATTTCTAGTTTCTTAATCAAACATAAATGTGAAGCCAAGTCACTTTTTTCTTATCTCAGAAACTTTTTTTATAATAACGTGGCACATCAAGAAAGAACTTCAAATGCACCAATGGTTGAAACTTGGTCCTTGTCTTATTAGGTTTCATGAATCTTCTCCTAAAGGTCGGTGCACTATACAAGGCTTGTAATGTTTCTCTTTTATGGTGGCTTTGGCCGGAACACGAGAAATATATAAAAGATGTTGATGAGATTCGATACGATGTTAGTGTCAAGATCCTCTTTCTCTTCTTCTTTAGACTCAAGGACGATAAGGTGAATCTATATAGTGCCTATCCATTTCATCATCATTGTCATGAGCTCGAAAACCCATACTTATTTATACTTTTGGGACCTCCTAAAAGACACATTGAGCTTTTGATCGCGTGTTGCTTTGTTATCCTCTTTGCCCACTTTTAAGGGACCTCCATGTGTCAGTTTTCCCTTTATTTATTTTCTAAAATTTTAAACGTTGAATAGTTTGGTAAGGTCATCCAATACGAACCATTGTTCAATTTTATGTTAGAAAAAAAAAATATTGAGAAGAGAAGTTGAATCCAGTTTTGGAAAAGTTTAACACGGTTTGTCTTTTCGTTTAACTCAATTATTTGTAATTTAGTTTTTTTTTTCCAATTTCATTGTCATCTATGTAAATATGTAATATTGAATGGATTTGTTAGACACGGTTAACAAATGACATATGTAAAGTAATTGTTACATTCAGTTCAAGAGTATTCAAATTTACTTTTTTGATAGTCTATTTACGATTTTTTGGACCAATAACATCACCATTCTTAAGCGGTAAAACGGTAGAGTAAAAAGTTGAATGGTAAAGAAAAAAAAAAACAAAATTCTAAAAGATCAATATATCTATTTGTTCTACTTCTACCCTTGTTTGAAACGCGGACGAGGCTGATCTCCATTCCATGGCAAAGAGGCGCTCGGCGGGTGACAGTTCAAAAATTTTAAATCTAGTAGTTTGTGATGAGGCTATGTTTCTGTCATTTGAAGACCCCCTTCGTTTTGTTTCAGTATCATTTTAGATTTTGCTCACGTTGCAGAAAATTTCATCAGAATCAAATCTAACTAACTCTAAACTAGTAATCTGGTATGGTTTATTTATTTCAGTCTCGAGATTCTAATCGATCTTAAAAACTTATTCAAAGTAGTTTTATTACTTTTATGAAGATTCCACTACATTTTAGAATTATTTTTTCTCGTATGCATACTTCGGATCTAGAACTGGATTTAAACGGGGTACATTTTTTCACTATATTTTGTTATTCAATAAGGAGCAATTTATTGATTAACTTTAATTTTTAACGCTGAAATGTATTATTAAATCTTATTTCCTCCGTTTCATTTTAATTGTCATTCTATGTTTTTGCACACATATTAAAGAAATATTTAATTTTACAAATTTTCAAGAAAAAAAACACAATTACATATATACCTAACCACTTTTCAACCAATAGAAAAATAGAATATCATATAAAACTAATAAATTTTATATCGAAACTCGAAACGACATTTATTTTGAAACAAAATTTTTTCTCCAGAATGATAATTAATTTGAAACGGAGGGAGTATAAGATATGATTAACCTTAATTACTTAAAGAAAATGACGAATTAGATGGTGCACGTTCCCCTCTACGTTTTTTTACGTCCCCCTAGCAATACAACAACATGCTGTTGCAGTACAAAAGCCAAACAAATAACCTCCCCTTCGGTTTCTACAGAACACACTGCAGCCTCTGTCTCCTCCC